TAAAAAATGTGTTTATACAAGAATAAGTGAAGCAAAATGGCGTTCAGGTTGCCGCCCACTGTACACCCGTTAGGCCTAAAATTATTTTTTTCAAGATTTTTCCATTTCCCTTTCATGCATGAATTCTGTTTTCAGTCAGGAACTATTTTTGGTTTTCTTAAGGCATAAAAACAATTTTTTTGTGTAAAAAATGTGTTATTTCAAGGTTTTCTTAAGGCATAAAAAACTAATTTTTTGCATCAAAAATTTGTTTTTCAAGGTTTCTTAAGGTAGAAAAACTAATTTTTTGGGTCAAAAATATGTTTATACAAGGATTTTTCCACTCAAGTTGACAGCATGCGACATTGGTTTTCTTAGGGCTTTTTTCAAGGATTTTTCCATTTTTTTTCCATTTCCCTTTCATGCACGACTTCTGTTTTCAGTCAGGCGGTCCGGCGGACTCACTTGCACTGGCCGCCCTGGAAAAAACTCATTTTTTGTGTAAAAAATGTGTTTATACAAGAATAAGTAAAGAAAATGGTGTTCAGCTAGCCGTCCACCTAGCCCTAAAATGATTTTTTTCAAGGATTTTTCCATTTTTTTCCCATTTCCCTTTCACGCATAAATTCCATTTTCAGTCGGGCGGTCCGGCGGACTCACTTGCACTGGCCGCCCTGGCCCTGGCAGTCGAAGCCGTCGTACAGGCAGCCGGGGCCGTTGCACTGGCCGTCGCACTTGCCGTCGTTGAAGTACCTCCAGCACTGCAGCGCGGCCGAGCAGTTCTGCCACGGGTCGTCGAAGTTGAGCGAGCAGTCTCCCCCGTCCCAGCCGCAGGCGTGGTTGTTGCACAGCGAGTCGCAGATGTGGTTCCCCGCCCGCTCGTCGCACTGCGCCAGCTCGCAGCTCACCTCCACCTCCGGGGGCGGAGCTATATCCCGGCCCAGCCCCCCGATAAAGGAGTAGTCCAGGATGTGGCACAGCAGGCCGTTGAAGTTGCTGGGGCAGCTGCACTGGAAAAAGGGGGCGTCGCCGGGGGTCGCCTGGCAG